CCTAAACCCGACCACACCAGACCCCAAACCCTATTTTATTAATATCAATAATGAAATAACAATATAAATAACCGAACTTCAAGACATCTATAATCGATATTATAATTTAAAATAAACTTAAAAAAAACAAAAATAACATTTTTATATAATTATTAAGAAATTCTATGAAATATAATATCTCTAAATATTCTAAATTTGCTAATTTCATATTACCATATTTATTAATTCTATATTCGAATTAAATCTTACAAATCTCTTCTAATCGATTATTCTTCAAATCTTCAATTTTATATATTATATATAATAATATATCATCAAAATTCATCCTCACTATTTAATTTTTCTAAAATGTGCTTATCAAAATCTATATAAGTTATGAAATGGTATATATTTATCTATTTGTTTATTTATTTATATATCTATATCTTTTTTGAAAGTATCCAAGGCCTTGTAGTCCTGGATTATAAGAATTATATCCGAGATTGAGAATATCTAATCCTTGAAATCCTGAAGTCGAATTTCCACAACAAGCCCAACGAAAAAAAGCAGTACGCTAACTCTCCAGGCCCCGAACATTGCAAACCCCAGTGAGTCTTCCAAACCTTCTGGCCTCCACTCTCAAAGCGAATGAACTGAACTTCTCCAGTGCAGACACAAAGCCATGCGATACTTTTCAAGACGGATTGGGAACGATTGGCTTTGAAATCGTGTGGGCGGAGTGAACCGCAGCAGCCCGATGCAACACAACCCAGATCCAGATATGGAGCAGAAGTACGTAGCCTCGAGGGACACATTTGCTACTACACTGGAGCGGAACATCCGCAGCTTGGATTCCCCATGCCCAAATTGGAGGAGGCAAAGGCCCAGGCCGTAGAAAATTCTGCGTGTGGTCGGGCTGGCAAACAGCAGCCTGGGTCAACATACACTTCACTTGCGCTCTGATGGCGGGAATCTTGTGACTGGGTCTCGCCACTTGCTGAAGCGTTTCAGAACAAGGTCACCGTCAGCAAAAAAGGCCTGCTGCAATCTTCTCAACTTCGCAGAAAACAAACGCAGGTGCTGCAGTTTATGGCCTTGACGGCCCCACCCGCACCTTGCTGAAAACACAGACACCGAAGGTGCACCTGCACGACTGCGCCTGGCCTGGCTCCTTAGAAAGGACCTCCTTCAAGGAGAGGCCATCTTCGAGATCGACCAGCGGCTGAAGCAAGGCTCGTATCTGCGCTGGTAACAGCCTTGTCGAAAACTCTGCAGGAGCCTTCTCGGAAGCCTCCGTCTTGGGAGCAACGCGCCCTGGCCGGCTGGAAGCCTGCAGATTCTTGGAGCTGATGCAGACGTCTTGCCCGCCAATATGGCTTGCCTCTGTGCCCTCAGCATAGCGTAGAGCGTTTCTCTCGCAGGTCAGGATCTGCCATGGAGACAGGAATTGAACAAGAAGTCCAGTGCTTCACCGCGAATGTTTTTCTCAAGCCCGCCTCGAGCCTTTTGTCTTTCTCCTGAAAAGGTCTGACACGTGATTAATGCACAACCGACAGCGGGCCCCCATCCCTGTCATACCAGCTCTCCAAGAGATGCTGTTGGCCATGCACAGAGTACAGCACAAACTAGTTGTCGAATCAAAGACCGTCATGGGACTGCATGCATCCGAGTCACATCATTCTTACGCTTTAAGTACTCAATCTCTTCGCGAGAAATCTCTGCCTTGTGGACAGACAGGCATACGGCATACAGACAGTCCATTTGACAGCTCCCACGAACCTGCTCCTGCAACTCCGTCTTGTGCTGCTCCACGAATTTCTGCAGCTGCTGCTGCCTCGCTGCAAGTAAACTGCTAGCTAGTGTGCGGCATCACGAGCTGTCCGCGAACTGCAAGCCGTCGCAAACTAGGTGCCCGGCAGGGCCTCTACCTGAAGCGGAAGTCACACCACTCTAAGGCCAAGCTTCCTGACACCAACTCTGCCGTGCAACGCCTCTCCCTGCGCTGTCTGAAGTGCGGCCCACGCTTCCTGGCGGCATACGACGGCCGTGATGGGAGCAAAGCGGATCTTCCATGATCTGCCAACAGCCCCCATCGATGGCCTGGCCGCTGCCGGCCTGCACCAAAAAAAATATGATTTTGTTTTTTTGTGGCAAAGCGGCAAAGGACGCCTATAGGCGAGGCCTCCTTCTGGGACTGCTGGGCTTCGGCCTGGGCCTGGCGCTTTGCCGGTCGGGCAGCGCGGCGTTCTCTCCCTCCGCCAGACGCTTCGTGTGCCTCCTCCATGGACTGGAGCTTCGCCCTGGCCTCTGAAGGGCCAGGCCCACGAAGAATCTGTTTCTGTGGGTGTTAGCTTCGGCTGGAGCCTCCTCTGCCTGTTTCAGCGCGTGGTCTCGCATCCAGGTGCACCTGGGGCAAAAGGGACTGCGACTGCTCTTGCTGGGCAAATCAGTGCTGTCACAAGTGCGACATCATGCCGGGGCTCTGGTGTTCCCTTTCCACAAATCAACGCTGTCAGGATGAATGACAGAGCCATCAACGCCCACGAGTTCTGGCAAGCAATAAGATTAGATGTTGCCAGACACGCTCCCGTTTTCCGATCTCAGCAACCTCCTGCGAAATTCCCGTGTGTCCAGTTGCAACTGGTTGCAGCTGCGAGGCTCTTTGAGGCGATCGTCCATCCTCAGACAGGTGGTGCCGATGTTGCAGCATGTCTTGCGCACACTCTCGAGGCCCGCACTCCGAGAGCCGTTCCTTCGCTGAGGAAAGCTCATGACGAAGGACATCCTGGCTCGGAGGGTCATCGAGTGCTCTCTTTCTGGTTCTGGGCGAACCTCCGAGTGGCTGTCGTCTCTCTGGGTGAACTCAAGCCTCGGGGCAGAATCACAAGAGCCGCAGGGCCCGACAATGCTGGAACGTGCTATGACTATTTCACACGATCGGATGAAATCTGCCGAGATGCTCGTTCAAGCGGAGGGACATAGCGCCCACCTCCGAGACCAGCCAGTCAAAGAGTGCAAAACTGCTCGCTTGCCAAGTCAGTCAATTCCGTCTCGCGCCTCACGAGCAGCTTCGCCTCGGCTTCGAGGGGCGGAGTAAGCAAAGCCAGCCGCAAAAGCGATGCAAGGGAAGAGTCGGCCAAGTTTCTGTATGCTTGTTGGGCGTGTTCCAGCTGGCCTATCCACAATGTGAAAGGTCGTTCACTCGGCTCGCAACTATACCTGCCTGAAAGCTCGACCACTCGTTCCTTTCCGGGGCAATGTCACCAAGCAGGTGCTCCGTGCTCCGCGCTGCTGAAAGCACGAATACATGTTCATCTTTCAAGTCTTTTCGAGCCTGCAGCTCTTGTCGACTCTGCTCACTTTGCTGGAGCTCCTGCCGCAGCTGCAGCTCGCTGTCCGCCGCCGCCCCTGAATTCTAGAATAACACTGACTTGAATTGATTCTGATCTCTTGCACCAAAACACACTGAAGGGCTCCGGCGGAGGCGCTCTCCGAGACGGCTCATCTCTTCTTCGGTCCGTGCTTTGTAGGCCTTGCCGCGAAACCCGTACACGCCTTACACTTTAATTGTCGGTGTGCCGTAGATCCGCAGGCTGAACTTCAACACTCAACACCGCTCAAACCTGCAAAACACGCAGAACGCGCTTGGTGTCCTCTAGCTCGCCACGAGTTTCCTCGCTGCCAGCAGCCTGAATGCACTTCAGGAGAAGCAACTGCGAAGTAGCTACATTCCAATTTGGTCATGGTTAGTCGTGATAAGCCTACTCACTGCCCACACACATCTAGAAGGCCCCACAATGTCTCGGAGGTGTACCTGCTGCGAACGTTTTCGGTGTCGAACACTTTTTGTCTTGCACCATCGCAGTCTCTCTCTCATCTCTCGCTTTGACACTTTGTTTTGGCGCAAAGAAAAAGCCTGCAGATTCTACGACAACTGATTGCATGCTCGTCGAGTCTAGCAGCACCCTTTACCGACCTGGTGGTTGTATCAAGACCGACACCGTCCCTGAAACCTAATGCTTGCGGGAACAGACGAGACCATCTCTTCCTGCATCAGCATCACAAAGACAATAAAGGCAGGATCAGAAATGGTTCCAAACCCAGGAGCCGGTCTAGCAGCAAAGGCAGATGTAAGCCTTCTCGGTCAAGCCAAGCTGCTTGCACGCGCATCCGAGCCTTCAACTTTGCCAGCTCGGCTGAACTTGCAGCCGCCGAATCCTTCCTCAGGTGCCATGGCAATGTCGCTTATCGCAATTCGTTTGAGTTCCCTCCTGGCGATACACCCGCCCGTAGGCTGCGAGCGCATCTTTCTCTGCTTCTTGTGCTTTTGACTCAGCCTTTCTGATTCTGTCTTTCCATGCTTCCTGCAAACAAAAAGATCACCCGCCAGGGTCACAGTCGCTGATCGGAATTGTGTTGCGTCTAATCAGTACTTCGGTCCTGAGCCTTGTGGAGCTCCTGCTCCATGTCACGTGCCTTGAATCATGGACCCATGTCACCGCCCGTTGTCGCGCAGTCCAAGGGTCCGACTTCCTGCTTTAGTCGTCGTTCATTGACCTGCGAGGGCAGGGGACATCATCAGGGACATGAGGATGACAAAAACCAGCTTGCCGGGCCTCCGCCTGCTCCGCTCTCTTGCGGGCGGACTGCATCTCACGCTCGGCCGCACGCACGGCCTCTGTCGCCTGGAGCAGAACATGACGAAAGGTTACTTTCCTGCTGAAATGAAACGCTATGCCACCAGGCATCACTATGCCAGGCCTTGG